TACACCCCGCCCTGTCCTAACCTAATACTCACTGTATCATGTACATGTACCCCTCTGGGCAGGGAATGAGCGTTTTCTGCGGTGTTGGGTGCTTGATGCGTTCCATGGAGACACGGAAGGCGGATAAAGGGATTGACAAAGCCGCTGTGGAACCCGATCCCGAAGCACCGGCAGCAACAACACTGCCAGCCCAAGCTCCCACCACCTCCAACCAAACCATGGAGACCCAGGTTCCAATGCCCGATCGCGATACCTCATCCCCGCCAACCCCGCCAACCCCGCTGGCCTCCGTTTCTGTGAAAGCAGGAGAATCTGCCGCAAGTGCAGAATCTTCGGCTGGAGCTGTGTATGCTACAGTCACCAGCCAGGAAGCAACGGCCAAGGCTTGGGTTCAATGCCAGAGCGACACATCTAAACCGATGGAAACCGATGACAAGCTCGAGGCAGAGTTGGAAAAACTCATTGACGACGCGGAGGTGGAGCACGCCAATCAACGGGCGGAGCAGGCAGAGTCGAAGGCGAGNNTTGCTGGAGATGCCGCCCGAGAACCACACTGCCCGTGCGAACCTCATCCAGAGCATGCTCCGCAGACCAGGGACATGCGATATCGAGGAATTGACGAAGCAGCTGCAGGCAAACACAACAGCCAAAGCAACAGCAACTGCACCAGCAGCAGGCATGACGGAGAACAGCGAGACACCGAAGCCCAACCTTTCGGTACCCGAAGCCTCCAAGCAGAGCACAACCTCTATCGCGTCAATGACTGCTACCAAGACACCGACACCAACAGAAAACGAAAGAGCAGCCTCAGCAGCAAGTGTGCCAGCAGAAGCGGGTTTGACCACGAGCCCGAAGCCAACAGAAAACCCGACAGCAACTGCAGCAGCAAGTGTGCCAGCAGCAGCCGAGAAGCCGACAGAAAACCCAACAGCGACTGCAGCCTCAAGTGTCCCAGCAGGACAGGGTGTGACCGAAACACCGAAGCCGACAGAAAACCCGACAGC